CTATCACATAATTCACAATAAAACATTTAAGAAAAAACAAAACAAAACAAAACAAAAATGTCAGTATGACTGGCTACTACAAGAATACACAAACTGTTAGCTGGGAAGCCATCAAGGTAAGCAATCAAGTTCCTTCAGGACAAACTCCCCTCTAAGACTGAAACTCAAAGGGAACACATGAACAGGCATGTAAGCTTGCTGGCAACAACAGTGGTCTACTGGTGAGTGGAAGAGGGGGAAAGGCAGCAATGAAGAAATGGGCTGAGTTCAACCACAGTCCATTGACTTCTGTTGACCTGGAGATGAGCGAGAGAAGAGTAATGGCTGGTTGGTCCAATGTGTGATGAGACCTGGGGACACTTGAGACCATGGACAAGGACATAGCCACAGAGGGATAGAGCTAAGAACAAAGCATCCAGCTGACATGAAGTGAGGGGAGATACACAAGAACACCCAAACTGGAAGACAGTATCCATTTGACCTAGCTTTGATGGTTTGATAATCAGAACTCGACTAGAGGAAGATTATGAGAAAAAAAAAATTATTTTTTTTTTTGATAAAGGAAACAAGGATAAATTGCTACAATTTGATGAACCTGACCTATACTCATGGAGGTGGTGGTTATGTGCTGTGGAGTCGGTTCCGACTCATATCGACCCTGTACAGGGTAACCAAGGCTGTAAATCTTTACGGGAGCAGAAAGCCTCATCTTTCATGGATGTATCAAGTACCAAAGCTATCCCCTCTGTACACAGGGTAGATAGGGATAGGCAACTTAGACATTGGCTTCCTAAAATAAGGGGGCGATAAAGGCATGAAGTGATTGGCTTTCAAGGTTTCAAGAGGGAGTGTAAGAGTGTGTGTGGGGAGAAAGAGTTCCCACTGGATAGTTTTCATCTTATCTAGAGGGGTCTGTTGAAAAGAGATGGGGATAAGATTTGTATGATTCAATAGTAAATAATTGTTATCATGACTAATCGCGACTGTCTCAAATGTAAAGGTAGAAGTTTTGTGACAAAAACAGGGGAGTAGTTAATCTTACAGTCCAGAAACAGAGGACCCTAGGACCATCAAGAGAGGAACGCACAAATAGAATGTGGGACCTTATCCAGAGAAGTAGCAACACTAGAGACGGAGGCAGAGATGTGGACATGGTGAAAGGGAGCGGCTGAGGACTCTAGATTCGTGGGAAGAGAGGGACGAAGAGCTGGTAGTCAGGAGGCAGACTTGCAGAATGTGCCGTTTGGAGGTGTAAATTATTATATATGCCTCAGTGGATTGTTTTTTGTTTTTAAAAAAAGCTAAAGTGAATAGAGAGAAATACTGTTAACTGATGGTACATGGAGGGGATTATAATCATTGTAATGAAACAAGATGTATGAATTGTTGAATGTAAAACTGATGATCTGCCCTGTAAACTTTCACTTAATCTACAATGAAAACCTTAAAAAAAAGACAGTGGTAGACTTGATTGATTAGAGGCCCTTTTATTGTTGTTGTTAAGTGCCACCAAGTCAGTTCTTACCCACAGCAATCCTGTATAGAGTTTCCAAGGAGCAGCTGGTGAGCATGAACTGCTGACCTTATGGATCAAACCGATTTTGCAGTCCATCGTATTAACCTACAATGCCACGCCAGGACTCCAGAGGTCCTTTTGTTGTTGTTGTTGTTAAGTGCCGTAGAGTCAGTTCCAACCCATAGCAACCCTGAACAGGGTTTCCGAGGCTGTAAATCTTTACGGGAGCAGAAAGCCTCATCTTTCTCCGGCGGAGCAAGCTGGTAGTGTCAAACTGCTGACCTTGAGATCCACAGCCCCATTCATAACCACTACACTACCAGAGCTCCTTAGAGGTCCTTTTAGGGGTCAAGAATTGTTGAATTTGAGGTATTAAAGGAAATGAGTTTAGGAATAGGTGCATAAATATTTAGTTTAACAAGAGAACATCAATATGAAAATGATAAGATTTAAGGTAAACAATTGAAGTGGTGAAGATAGTTTCTAGAAATTGGAATGAGGTGAGATTAGAGCAGGATATATAGTTTTTTGGGAATCAGTGTGAGAGATAAAGGTTGACCTGCAAATGCAGGGCTAGTTGTGGCATCTGGTATAAATAAGAATAAAGTTATAAAGTGATTGTTGCTGTTTAGTGCAGTCAAGTCAGTTCCAATTCATAGAGACCCTGTATAGGATTTCCTAGGAATGGCTGCTGAGTTTGAATGCTGACTTTGCAGTTCAAAACAACTTTGCAGTCTAGTGCTTATCCTACAGTGCCATACCAAGACTCCTATAGTATGATTTGGTGGTAGTTGTGTGCCAGCAATTCAGTTCTGACTCAAAGCGACCCTGTATAGGATTTCGGAACCTGTAAATCTTAACAGGAGCAGAAAGCCTCATCTTTTTCCTGAGGAGCAACTGGTAGATTCGAATTGCTGACCTGTGTTTTGCAGCCCAGTTCATAATTCACTATGCTACCAGGGCTCCTTATAATGTGATTGATGTTGTTGTTAAGTGCCATGGAGTCAGTTCCAACTCATAGCGACCCTATATAGGGTTTCCAAGAAGGATTAGTGAGCTTGAACCACCAACCTTGTGGTTCAAACCATCCTTGCAGTCCAGCGCATCAACCCACAGTGCCACACCAGGGCTCCTACTCTTTGTGAATTCAAGGTAGGCATTGGTAGCCTGTAAGTGATGGTGGGCAGACATGTCAATGGAGGAAACAAGGTCTGAAGAACTGTGGTTCTAGTCTTAAACATGGGCCACCCTTTTCATCAGTAAGGGTGAGAGAGTGGAGGATATTAGAAGTAATTTGTTACTCTGCGCACATAGGCCCTATTATCTTAGCCCCTGTTGATGGGGGAGAGGTAGCCTTGAGACATAATTGTTGAGGCAGACCTCAAAATAAACCAGATGTGATTTCTGCCTTACGAAAGCTGTAATATAACAGGGTTTTAACCCATAATAAAAAAAGGTCATAATGAGGGATTTTAAACAAGTACAGACAAAATGCTATTGGAACAAAAACTGTGGAAACATTAATTCTGAAGCAAATGTTTCACTGAACATTAACTGATTTTTGAAACTCAGATACTTCTGATATTGAAACAGGAAGGTAACAAAAATTGCAATATTCATATTTTACCTGGCAGTACCAGTGAGCTCAATAATTTTGTGCCGTTTTAAATCTGCTTCATGTAGAGCTGCTTCACATTTCTCTTCCATTTTTCTTAACTTTTCGGTTGAACTTTCCCTTTGCTTTTGAAGCTCTTGTTCCAGTTTTGATACCTTGTGTAAAGCAGTTTTAGTAAGTATTTTAAAGTCACAATTCATTCTTTAGAAGAAAAGTATTTATGTAAATAAGTAGCCAAGTCTATCATTCAATTTCAAAATTGAAATACAAAAGTTAAAAGTATAGATCAGGACATAATGGTTTGGAAATATAAAAGTAAAATTTAAATTGAAAAAAAATATAAAGATAATTCATATACAAATTTAGAGAATGGGTTACATTATAATATTAAAACAGGACTTAAAGAATTGAGCAAAATAGTTGTAAATGTGCCCTTTTTACTGCCTCCATTTAAAATGTGCTGTCTTCTCTTGTCAAATTATGTTATTTTTCTTCTTCACAACAACATTTCAGTATCTTTACAAGCAAGGATTCCCATATTCTGACATCTAATCTTTCCACTTTCCTTTGGTCCCAATTTGTTGATGTCCACTCCTCATTCTGTTATAGTACAATAAAGGAGGTATTCTTCCTTCTATGTAAGTCAAACAGCTTTATAGGTGTTCCAGATACAGTAAAGTAGCTATGGATTGAATCCAGAACTATAACCTAACTAACCTAATTATTTGCTGTCAAGTTGATGCCAATTCATGGTGACTCCATTTGTGCAGAGTAGAACTGTGCTCCATAAGGTTTGAGAAGCAGGTCATGAGGACTTTATTTCAATGTGCCTCAGGGTGGGTTCAAACCATCAACATTGTGGTTCATAGTTGAGCACATAAATGTTTACACTACCCAGGGGCTCCTCCTATTTTTGACTGTCAATATTCTCATCTCTATCTTCTATCTTTTTATTTATGCAGTTTTATATATGCTAATATTTAAATATGTTTAAGACTCTCCAAGAGTCCTGATGTGGCACTGTAGGATACGTACTGGACTGCTAACCACAAGGCAGGCAGTGCAAACCCACCAGCCACTCCTTGGAAATGTATACAGAGTCGCTATGAGTTTGAAATGACTCAACAGCATTTTAACAACAAAACTTTCCTATCTATTTTCCTTCATATCTCTACTTCCTCCAATGACCACTCTTTCTCTCCTTCCCTTCAATTTCTCAAAAAATTTTCAACACTTATTTTCTTACTTTCCATTTATCTTTAACCCATAGCAATCTAGCCATTCTATAGAAACTGAAATTGTATCACCAACGACATGTTGTTATTGGTGCCTTTGAGTTGGTTCTAACTCATGCAACCCTATGACCAAGAGCATCACTGAGTCCACTGTGGCAGCCACTGTGTCAATCCATCTTGTGAGATCTTCCTCTTCTTTGCTGACCCTCTACTTTATGAAGCATGATGTCCTTATCCAGGGACTGGTCCCTCCTGATAACATGTTCAAAAGAGTATGTGAGATGAAGTCTCACCATCCTCGCTTCTAAGAAGCATTCTCACTGTACTTCTTCTAAGGCAAATCTGTTTGTTCTTAAGCAGTCCCTGAGATATTCAGGATTCTTCTTCAACCCCATAATTCAAAGGCATCAATTTTTCATCAATCTTCCTTAATCACTGTTCAACTTTTGCATGTATATGAGATTGAAAATACCATGGTTTGGATCAGGTACACTTTAATCCTCAGAATGACAGGTTTGCATTTTAACATTTCTAAGAGATCTTTTGCAGCTGCTTTTCCCAATTCAATACATCCTTTGATGTTTTGACTGCTACTTCCATGGGTGCTAGTTGTAGATCTACATAAAATCACTAATGCCAAAGATGAAGAAATTGAAGCTGGTAGCAAAGTGGTTATGTATTGGGCTGCTAATGTCATGGTCAGCAGTTTGAAACTACCAGCTGTTCCACAGGAGTAAGATGAGGCTTTCTGCTCCCATAAAGATTTACAGCCTCAGAAATCCTGTACAGGATTGCTATGAGTCAGAACTGACTCCATGGCACATAATAACAACAACAAACCAAATTCTGCAGTCTGAAATTGATCAAACATGCACTCAAGATGCACCAATCATAGGAATGCAAAAGCTGGAAACAGAAAAAGGCCAGTAGTTGGAAAATATGGCCTTGGTTACACAAACAAAGCAGATCACATGAAAGATTTCTGAAAGCTAACGACCTATTCATTGCAAATATTTATTTTTTTTAACATGAAAGAAGACTATACACCTTAACCTCACCAGATGGAATTCACAGGAATCAATTCAACTACATCTGTGCAAAGAGACAATGAAGAAGCTCAATAGCATCTGTCAGAGGAAGAACAGGGGCCAACTGCAGAACAGAATATCAATTGCTCATATGCAACTTAAAGAAGCTGAAGAAAATTAAAAGAAGTCCACCTAATCCAAAGTACAATCTGGAATACACCTCACCTGATCTTAGAGACCACCTTCAAGAATAAATTTGAGGCACTGAACACTAGTGATTGAAGGCCAGATGAGTTGTGGGATGACATTAAGACATCATGAATGAAGAAAACAAGAGGTCACTAAGAAGACAGGAAAGAAAGAACAAAATGGATGTCAAAAGAGACTCAGGAACTTACTCTTGAACATTGCTTTTTTTTAAAAAAAAAACAAAATACACCAGAACATTTTATTGTGAACTGAGTGAAGGTTTACATCAACAAATAATATACTTTGTTTTACCTCAATGATTGCAATCCCCTCCATGCAACAATAATTATCCCGCTTCTTCCCTGTGGTTCCTATTTTCATTCCACTCACTTTCCCGTCCTTTCTCAACTTTGTCCTTAGGTACCTGCTGCCTTTTTGATTTTGAATGACTGACAAACATTACAAATCAATGCTGGAAGCACTCATTTGTCTATGCCAAGAAATTTGGAAGGCAGCTATGTGGCCAACCGACTGGAAGGTATCCATATTTATACTCACGTACGACCTGTACAAAGGAGCTCTGGTAGTGTAGTGGTTACGAGTCAGGCTGTGAACCTTAAGGTCAGCAGTTCAAAACTACCAGCCACTCCGCGGGAAAAAGATGAGGCTTTTTGCTCCCGTAAAGATTTACAGCCTCGGAAACCCTGTACAGGGTCGCTATGGGTCAGAATTAACTCAACAGCACTTAACAACAACAAGGACCTGCACAAAGACTGAAAGACGGTCATTTAAATAGAAAAAGGGGATACTGCATGGTTTAAAATCAGGAAAGGTGTATGTCAGGGTTGTATCCTTTGGCCATACTTATTCAATTCATATGCTGAACAAATAATCCAAGAAACTGGACTACATGAAGAACATGGCTTCAGGATTGGAGGACTCATCAACAACCAAAGCATGCAGATAACATAATCTTGCTTGCTGAAAATGAAGAGAAATTGAAGTACTTACTGATGAAGATCAAAGACCAGTGACCTACATGTTGCTAATTCCAGTGGACATTTCTCAAGCCTCATTTTACTTGACACTGATTGTAACAACCTGGGACACCAATGACCATTCCTTCCTTCTTGAAATACTTAGTTTGGCTTTCATAAACCTCATTCCTCAGGGATCTGTCCAAATTGAACTTAATCTTCTGATCTACACTTTCTTCTTATGTAATCTGTCATTCCATGTTTTCCATGAGCATCTATATAACTGCTCCGGACTTACATCCTCCTTGATCTTTTCCTAAAACCTCTCACTGAAAAACTAAACACAGAGAAATCGTTAATATCCACTGCTCCAACTCAAGTTACAAAAATAAAATTACAATACCCAGGTAAAAAATAAAAGGAATCAAAGAAAATCTTGAATTTCCCACCCTATTCTTGATTAAGCTGTAAACCCCAAACAGAAAGAATCCAAAGATGAGTTACACTCTAACATGATCCAACTTGGAATCTATGTATAATGGAACACCCAAATACTGAAGATATTTTTAGATGAAAACTTTTTTGGGCCTTCAAAGAAGTTAAAAAAGACACAAAGTCATTTAAAACAAAGATCGTGAAGCAATAAAAGTGCCAAAGGACAAATACAAATGAGCTAGTAGAGTTAAGGAAAGAAGAATTAAGGGGGGCGGGGGGAAGCCCACACCATAAAACCGTTATAGAAATTTAACAAAAAAACAAAAACTTTAGATTGTACAAGAATTAGAAGAAGAGATGTTTCAGAATAAAGTCATGCAGGAGGCATAGCAAGAAAAAAGTATACACTTTAACAAAAGGGGCAGACAGCATAAGAGACGTCTCTTAAAAAACAAAACAGAATACCTGTTTGATGTTTTGAAAAGAGATTCTTTAGTTCTACTGCAGAGACTGGAATCCTGATGTGGCACTGTAGGATAAGCACTGAACTGCTAACTGCAAGGTCAGCTGTTCAAACCCACTAGTCTCTCCTCGGAAACACTATGAAGTGTCTCTAAGTGACTTCACTATAAAGTGTCTCTAAGTGACTTGATGTCACTAACAACAACTGGAGAGGTTGAGGATGAATTAAGAGTCAGCAGATAAAACCCCATATAAATGACAAAAAGAGGGCTGACATTGTACAATTCATCAATTTCTGGAAAGTTTAATTTCTTGTGAAAAGTGAAAAGTAAACAAAAATGTGAAATATTTGTTTAAAGAATTCAGAAAAATTGCAAAAATGATTAAATTCTAGCATAAAATTACCTATCATTCCTTCATTGGAATATTAATTTAGTTTTAGAAATAAATAGCAGAAGCATTTTCCTTTGGGATTTTTCTCTTAATGCAGTACTTTGACACTTCTTTAGGGATAAACACATAATGTTCTGATCCAAAAAGGAAATGGGAGACATGATTCAGGTAGACTGCACTTGGGTCCAAGCAGAAATAGAAAGCTTGAATAAAGGATTCTACGTTATACCTATGTTGTATAGAATGATGAAAATATGATCATAATATTAGAGATGTAGGTTGGATTATATAGGAATTGTTGTTGTTGTTGTCAAGTGCCACTGACAAACCTTGTGGTTCAAATCGACCTTGCAGTCCAGTGCATTAACCCACAACTCACAGCACCATACAGGAATAGAACTATATATTTTTCACAAATATGGAATTTATCTTATTTTATGGAATCAGTACTATCCATTTTTACTTTTTATGCTTTTATGACTTGTGTTTTCTAGCTTATCTGATTTATGTTTGCCTTTTTTTGTGTGTTTTTTTAAACTTTCTATTGTGAATTAGGTCACTGTGAGTCAGAACCAACTCAACGATACTTAACAACAATTGTGAATTGGAGGTGTAGCATAAGCACTCAACCACAAGGTGGTTTAATTCAGCAGCTGCTTCTCCGAAATCCTATACAGGGTTGCTGAGTTGGAACTGACTTGATAGCACTTAACAATAACAACAACTATGAGTTAAGTGAAGGTTTACAGAGCAGATGATCAGTTTTACATTCAGCAAATCATTACAATGATTGCATTCTTTTCCATGTACCATCAGCTAACAGTAGTTACCTCTATTTTCTTTAATTCTTGCATTTCTCCCTGTGTCTTCTGCTACCTTCATCTTTCCTCTGCCAAGCTCCCTCTTGTATATTGCCTATCCTGTCATGCATGTTAACATGTATCTACCTTCTAGCCTGTAAATAATTCCTCCTCTCCACCCCTCATCCAACCAGTAAGCATCATAGAATGTTTCATTTCGCAAGAAAATATTTTCTTAACTTTTTACAGCAGTAGTCTCGTATAGTATTTGTCCTTTCGTGACTGACTAATTTTACTCAGTATAATGAATGTCCTCCAGGTTCATCCATACTGTGAGATGTTTGCAGATTCACTGCTACTCTTCAGTGTTGTATAAATATTCCATTGTGCGTAATTTTTCAGAGTTTGTTTAACCATTCTTCTGCTGATGGGCATTTAGGCTACTTCCATCCATCTTTTTACTCTTATCAATAGTGCTACAATGAGCATGGCTATGCATATAGTTCTCTTTCTTGAGGATATTCACCAAGTAGGGGGATGGCTGGGTCATACGATATTTCTATTTCCAACTTTTTGAGAAAGCGCCATGTTTTCCATGATGTTGCATGTACCATTTTAAAGTCCCAACAGCAATGTAGTCTTTCAACACCTTTGCCAGCATTTGTTGTTTCTGTTTTTATGAACTTTACTATTAATGGTGGAGTAATATTGGAATGTATGAAATCAGATTCTAAATAGCAATTTATGTAGTTAACCAATAATCTATGAGCAATACGGAGGGGCTTCAAAAAGTTCATGGGAAAATTCCACTTTCCAGGAACTTTATCAAGCTCCCTCACATTAAAAATTTTCTATTTATACAAATAAAACCATTTTGGACAATAATATATACCTGTTTCTCAAGTTTCGTTTGAATGTCTTCTAGTTCTCCATTCCTAATTGTCTCTTGTTGTAACATTTGCTGTTGCTGCTGAAGAGTATGCTGTAGGATAACATTTTGCTCAGTAGTCTCTTGAAGACTGTGATTTTTAATCTTTAGTTCCTTCTGTAAGCAATATACCTAAGAAATATATTACATGAAATGTTTGAAACAAAATATCAAAGCTTTCTTCATTATTTGGTATCCCCACCACTTGTCATGTTAAGCAATTGTTCTCAAGGTTATGCTGTCATATGAAAAGGCAGGGTTCATTTCTGACAAGGAGATGTGTTCCCATTTGCATGGTTGGTCCCTGGCTGGCATCTGGGAACAAGGTTTGCAAATATTCCCTAAGTGATAAAACTATTTTGCCTACCTGGGGCACTGAAACTTGCTTCCCTTTTGACATTCTAAAATTTTAATATTTCCAACTTTTTGAGAAAGCGCCATGTTTTCCATGATGTTGCTGTACCTTATCACTGGGCCTGTGATCCACCCTCAATAAAATCCCTGAGCTTTGCAACTTAGGAAGCAAGCTTGCATGGGAAGAAACACAGCACATGTGTTGCTGTATTTTGCTGCTACACGAATGAACATGTTTTGTGTGACCCCTCCCAGCAGGAGAAAGAGAATACAGAAAGCCATGAATTCCTCGAGGCACCTGATGTATGTCTTTCCCCTTTATTGATTGTTAGAATGCACTGTAACCACGCAAGCAAAGCATAAATGTTACGTACTATTTGTTCTATTAGAATTGTTAGTGTTGTTTATAACCCCAGCAAAGCATTCCTGAATATTCACATTCCAAAACACAGATAAAGTAATGATAATAAATAACTAAAAAAAATTGGCTCATTCACCCAAAATACGTATAGGAATCAAATATGGTACCTAAAACTTCTTTAAAAGATAACTTTTAAGGTTATCTGGGAACATCTACTTAGACAAAAAGCAAGCTCTTTGTCCTAGTAAAGTGAATCCTGAAAATTTGCCAATATACGTTATCTTTAAAATATTATAAATAATATATATGACTTAATATATGTTTTATATTGTTCACCCAAAATGGGAAGGATGAGTAAATTATGGTATCTCAATATGATTTTAAATGATTAAGTCATATGAAGTCACACTTAAAAAAACAGTGGCAAACAAAAGTTTTTAAAACTATATTAAGCAAAAAAGAGAAATTCATATTTTACTTATATGCACGAAACTATGGAAGTATACATGCAAACAGAAAAAAATTAAAAGAGGTGAATGAAGTATTAGAGAGTGGATTGTAACTGAATCGTCTTTAAATGTTTCCTTTTATTGCTGCATATATAATAATTTTTTTAAAATAAAGGAAAATAAAGGTATTCCTTTATAAGCAAAGCACCTTTCCAATAAATAGTATTGCAGAAGAAACTCCTCAAAATGATGGAAGAAAATCCCAACCCGATTCTTCTTCCTGATTACCCAACACTGCTGCAGTCAGCAGCATTATGGAGGACTTAGGGACCAAATACTTTGCTTATGATGATGATGATATTGTAACTTGGAGCAACACTAGCTATCACAGGCAACTTGACCAATTTCTAGTCCTATTACTGTAGCTCTGTTTTATGCTGGTTTGTATTATTTTTTTCTGCATTAAAATGATTTATTTAGTATAAATACGTACAGTATCACTTGTTTTTCTTAGTTTTTTTTTTTCCCTCTGCTAGCTCCCTACAAAAATGAAGATGATTCTTCCGCAGTGGTTCATTTCTTATAGAATTGACTCGCCTGAGAGGCTCATACACTACTTCTCCTTTACTAGAACATCTGTCTCACACTTAATTGTCTATTCGAAGGAAAATGGACAGGAAGATTAAGATAAGACAAAATAAAAGAAAAAAGGTAGGAATTAAGCAAAACACCAAGAAAATCATATTATATAACAGAGATATCTTCTTTCAATTATCTAACTACTGGCAAAATACTTTGAATTACATATGAGAAGGCTTCAGAAAGTCTGTGGAAAAATGGAATTGAAAGATATGAAATCTTCCCAAGAACTTCTGAAGCCTGTTCATATATTCAAGTATTGAACATGTTTTTTGTATCACAAATAGTAATTTACAAAAACTACCTGTATCTATCAAATTTATACTGACAATTCATTGCATTACTCGTTAACTTCTAGTTGGTTTCACTTTCAAAGTCAATGCAGGACAAATCATTTTCATATTACATTTTCTATACTATATTTATTATTGCATCCAGAGAATAAAAATTTCCCAGATGATTATTTCATAATCAAATCATAATTATTTTATAAGTAAAATTTTAAGTAACATTTGTTATAAAATTTACTTTATAATTACTTTATCTAGTATTCATATATATTCAAAGAAGTAGCACTCTCATAACTGTTGCTTAAAATTTTAAATATACCACAGATAAATTATTGATTGATATGTTGCCAACTTCTCAAAGTTTAACAAAGTTTAATGATATTTATAAAAAAAATGACTACTTTTATGATCATTCTTTATGTAATGCTCATGTTGATAATGCAACTTTGTATGAATGCATAATTTTATGATTTTAAAAGATTTAAAAAAGCATTTCAATATGGAATAGATATATCTTTTAAAAATTTAGTATACAAAGTCAAACTTAAGTTAATCACAAATATGTTCACTCACTACTCAGAAAAGCTGGAGGAAACCCTAATTGTAATAGTGATATTGTTACGACAAAAGAATATTCAACTATTATTAATAAAAAGAGAGGAATTACACCATTTGTCCTGAGATAATTAGTCTGACTACAGAGGTCTTTTACTAATTATACAAACATCTCGCTGAGTCAAAAGCTTGAAGGGAAATACTGCAGTGGATAAACCTACGCTTTCACAACTAACTTTCTACCAACATGTTCTGGGACCCCCTAGTATATAATTTGGGAGTATCCACTTATTTAAAAGATTAAAGCATCTTTACAACATCCATATCATTAACAAAATGGATGCACTTTAAAATAAATAAAATTTCCAAACCCAAACTCTCTCACAACTATGCTATTATAAGGTATTCATTATATTAATTAGCATAAAAAAGTTTTCTTTCTAAGAAATTATAATTTGTGCTAAACACAATTAAATAATAAATAAATAGTATTGTGATTAAAGATGACCCTTCAGGACTTCTAGTAGGTAAAGTAAATCAATGAATGTGTATCTGAACTAACAATTAAAAAATCCTTATGACTAACCTTGTTAACTTATTCCCTAGTCTGGTCGTCTACCTGCTATAAACACTTCTGAGTTAATTCAAGTCTGGTTTGTATTTCTAGCTGTCTTGGAAATCGTTCTAAGTTTTGTGCATAAATGCCTATTGTTCAACCTAGACTCTGACATTGTTTCTAATAACTCAAAGTCCAAAGTCCAAAAAAGTCTCCTATTTTGAACTCTGGAGTCCTGGTATGGTGCTGGAGGATAAGCACTGGACTGCTCACCACAAGGCTGGCAGTTCAAATCCACCAGCTTCTCCTAGCAAACCCATAACAGGGTCACTATGAGTCAGAAATGACTTGACGGCCCGTAACAACAGCAGCAATAAATATTACAAACTCTGTCTGACTCTAAATTCTTTCTCTGGCACTTCTAAAGCTACACTTACATGATACACTTATGGTTAATGAGTTGGCCAACTACATTGTTAAACTATACAGCTATTCTGCTCTGCTCTGTTCATTGCAGGAAACTATGTTTCCTAGGCTCCTGCGTCTCTGGATTCCAATGGGATGGACAAGTAGCAGCAGTCCTCTTCCTCTAAGGCCCAGGTTCCCTCAAGAACCTTTCTCTGTGGCCCCAGCTCCAACTAGGCTGAATAAGGATGGTAATGGGTCCCTGTTTATGCTAATCTGAGTCACCTAAGCTTCCTGTGCTTGGCTTCTTTTCCATCACATGTGTATCATTCCCTGTATAAAATTCCCTCCATCTGAAAGATACAGAAAGGTTTTTGTCTTTCTGGCTGGATATTTCTGATCTATTCAAGTTAACCTAAATTAAGAAATGTCAGGGATTATCTCTAAAATTATAAGATTTAAATACATAAATAATAAATTCTAACAAAGAAATAAAGGAATATTTTAGATTAGTCCTTGAAAACATTAATGAGTGCCTATGGAAACCCTATACAGCGTTGCTATGGGTTGGAACCAATTTGACAGCACTTAACAACAACATTATGCTGAAAGCAAAATGCTAGCAATTGAGGATACAAAAATGAATAAAATTACTCATATATCTTTACTGCGAAATTCATCTCAGAAAAGAAAGTTGCACTTTTAAAACTAATTTTCAATCCTTCACACATCTAGAAGGAACAATAAAAAAATAAAAAAAAATTTTCATGCATGTGTTTACCATCCTGTTTCAAATCTTTACATATTTCTGGATATATTCCCACTCTCCCTTCCATACCCATTCAGTCTGTGTATCTGTCCATTTTTCTATCTGCAGGATACTGTTGTTACAAGGTTGTGTATGTAACTATTCTCTTTAGTTTTTGCATTCCTCTCCATCAACCTTCTGCCAACTTCCCTCTTGAATATTCCCTTCCCCGTCTCCCAAGTTAACATGTGTCTATTCTCAGACCAGTAAACAATAACAAAACGGAAATTTAAAAAAAGATTTTAATTTTCTCAATCTAAAATAATGTGATGTTATTCATTTAACATTAGAATTACTCTTTGAGATAGTAATGATTTATTCTTCTAATTCCCTAAATATAAAGAAAAGAACCATAATTTAAAAAGTGTTATTACCTTATGCCACATTGAAACAATGTTTGTTTCTTATAGAATAAAAACTTGGAATTCACATCTTACTGGGAAATTTTCTTATTATCAGATACATAAAGATGTACTTTTGAAGTATTCTGAAAATAAACAATATCTGGGAAATAAATCACTTGAAAAAATAAAATATATATGGAAATGTAAATTTACCTCTTCAGATTTCTTCTTTAGCTGTTTTTCAAACTTTTCTTTATTTCCTTCCAATTGATTCAAATGCAAGGCAAGTTCTTCCTTACAAATTTCCAATGCTGAATCAAGTTGTCTTACCTAAGCAGGTAAACATTTTAAAGAGGAAAGCAACTAATATTACTTTGGGTTATTAAATGCTTACTATTATACAGATTTATCTCCTAATGTTATATCACTGCTTCACATAGTGAGTTAATAGGCCTACTTAGTATATGAAATGCAATTATGGAAGAGATTCATTGAGAAAATGAGCTCTACACTGCAAATCAGGAAACCAAAGAATGGAATCCTGAAAATAAGCAGAAGTTGAACAAGTGAATGACATGTCAGGATGAAGAGTGTGTTCACAGAGGCCAAGGCACTATGAGAAGGAAAAGTGAGAAGCTTAGGGTAACCAGAAGTAACATTCACAGGAGATGAGCATTTGGAAATAAAATTGGCAAGACAATCTGGAACCAGTTGTTAAGAACCTATAAGCCAAAAACCCTAAAACATTTTCTAAAAATAGTAATTAAGTCTACTCCTTATGCCTCCCTGAACAAGAAATATAATAAAGTGAATACAAACTGGTATACTGTGTTACCGATGCTAAGGTATAAATATTTTGACTATGTTGAAATTGCTGAGAAAATAAAAACATTTTGGCCAGCTAGAGGAAAAAAAACCTAGAAAAAGGCTGGTTTTGCTTTGAATCAGTGAACTTTTTTTTTTTTGAAAGATAGTGTTTATACTTGATTCAAGTGTTGATACAGTCGCAAATGCTTTCTTCTATCTTAATATTAAAAGACAAATGAACAAAAGGCAACTAAAATTCAGGACTTTTTCTCCAAGAAAAGTTAGTTCCAAGGCCACAATTGGCATACATGCTCCACATCCCATCTGCTAATAAAATGCTTGCCATACTCCTTTCCTTTCCTTGTTGTGTTGAGCTTCTCAGACATGGATTTCCTTTATTCTTAATGCTAAACGCATCCTAGTAAGCAGTCTGAAAATTGTGGAAAAAATATCAACAAGCTAAGGAGAAAAATGTTTCCTCTTGCAAATGCTATTCTATGTAATAAAATTATCCTTCAAACTCTTCTAAGACATGAAGATTTTAAAGACTGCCCCAGAAGTCTATGAATAAATGTAACCAATGTTGTTGTTAGGTGCCATCAAGTTGACTCTGACTCACAGGACCCCATGCACAACAGAATTAAACACTTCCTGGTCCTGCACCATCCTCACAATTGCTATGCGTGAGCCCACTGTTGCAGCCATAGTGTTAATTCATCTTGTTGGAGGACTTCTTTTTCACTGACTCGCTGCTTTACCAAACATGATGTCCTTTTTCAGGCACTGGTTCCTCCTGATAATATCTCCAAAGTTTGTGAGATGAAGTCTTTCTTGCTTCTAAGCATTCTGGCTGTACTTCTTCCAACACAGATTTGATTGTTCTTCTGGCAATCCAAGGTATTTTCAACATTTTTCACCAACACCATAATTCAAATGCATCAATTCTTTCTTTGGTCTTCCTTATGCACTGTTCAACTTTTATATGCAAATGAGACTGAAAATATTACGGCTTCAGTTAGGCACACCTTAGTCCTCTATATGACATCTTTGCTTTTTAACACTTTAAAGAGGTTTCTGTAGATTTTTCCAGTGTAATATGTCATTTGATTTATTGAATGCTATTTATATAAACAATGATTGTAGAGCCAAGTAAAATAAAATCCTTGACAAGTTCAAAATTTTTTGTCCAATTATCATGATTTTTTTTACTGAGTTCGTTGAGAGGATTTTTGTTTTCTTTACATTGAGTTGTAATCCATATCAAACAGTGGATCTTTGATCTTTATCAACAAGTGGCCTCAAGATGTCTTTACTTTCAGCAAGCAACGTTGTATCATCTGCATATCACAGATTGTTAATGAGACCTCTTTACTAATATTTCTGAATGTTATGTCACTCACACTTCATTTATGAATATAACCATTAACCACTAACATATCTGTGGTTCTGAACAGGTGATTTTCTTATTAATTTGTTGAGTTGGTAGTAATTTTTAGTTTAACGTTTGTTTTGGTACTTGTACCATAGACCATGCACATAAAATTTAAAAACCCATGACTGTCAGGGTATCACTGTTATAACAGATTCAGGCAAGACTCTATTGGTTATATGGTTGTTGAAGAACAGTACATTTATATTACCTCAAAGAATTATCTCACATTTTATTTATTAACTGGTATCAAGATTACTGTTGCTAATAACGAGATGTTCTGACATGTGCCTCCTGATATGAAGCAATGGGTGAAATACAATATAATCCTTCTAGTGTTCTTGTTGACTTAGATTTTTCAAAAGATTCAGTTCATTAAAATTAAGAGGACATGGAGAGTTAAGCCTAGACTGGAGAAATCTAAAGTGAAAATACAACATGTGAATCAGAACAGAATCCTAGATTAGGGAAAGAAAAAAGAATAACCTTTCTCAAGTTTTAATGTACATACAAATCACCTTGATATCCCATTGAAATACAAATTCTGACTCAGTAGCAGGGCCAGAGCTAGGAAAAGGCAAGGAGGCACTCATTCTCAAGAATTATACAAGTGGTCAGTCCTTCATTTGTAGGCTCCTAAGAGCAAATGTCTCCTTAAATATCAGAAGCACCATATTTGCCTGACCTAAATCCAAGATCTATTCAGTTGGTCTGGGGCATGGCCTGGCATGGTACAATTCTAATAAGCTCCCAGGTGATGCTAAGGCTGTTAGTACATAGACCATATTTTGGGTAAGCAAGGCTATAAAGAATATTTTTTAATAACTGGGAAATTTTCCGTATGGACTACATTAATGTTATTAAATTCCTATAATGCAGTAATAATGGTATGCTCTTATAGGAAAAAGTTTCTATTCATTTAAGCATTAAAGGTGTAATATGCTAAGGCGTCTGCAAATTCTTTCATGTAGACTGCCAAAATGAAAAGGTATATGTGTGTATGTGCATATGCTTGCATGTGTGTGCAAGCACAGAGAGAAAAAAATGAAGTGAAAGTAGCTACAAATTAAAGTGATTCTACGAGAAAGGTACCCAGGCATACCTTATACCATTCTTACAACTTTTCTGTGGGTTTGGAATTTTTTACAGTAAAAATGAATTAAAATGGATAATCAGTTAAAATTCATAATTTTTAAAATATCCACTACTGTCTTGGATTTCTTATCTGAACAAAGCACTTGAGAGTCTGAGTGTCAGACACATAAACACACTCATTGTAGACAAACCATTTACAAATACACGTGTATACATACATGTGGTGGTGACTGTGTGTCGTGGAGTCAGTAAAAACTCATATTGACCCTGTGTAGGGTTTTCCAAGGCTGTAAATCTTTATGGAAGCAGAAAACCTCATCTTTCTCCCAAGAAACAGCTGGTAGATTCAAACTGCTGATCTTGACATTAACAGCCCAATTCAAAAACTACTACACTACCAGAACTCCTTTCACATATATGTACTTAAACATAAACAAAGGAAATCAAAACAAACCTCACTCTGTGAACCACAGATCTTTCTCCGGGGCATAGTCTAGGGCAATCAGGCTTGAGGCTACCTATCTTCATGAAGAGAAGTTCAGTTCTGACTCAATGACCACATGAGGGGCTTCTGAGGAACAGATGGTGGGCTTGAACCACCAACCTTTTAGTTAGCAGTCCAGTTCTTATCCTACAGTGCTATACAAGAACTCCAGAGGAGTTAAGTTCTTACTATTTCTTGGCATACTTTCTACTTATGAATTTCTTCAGGGGGATAAAGAAGAAACCCAGGATAGTAAGCAAAACCAAAGAAAAATTAAATACATGAGCAAATTAAATCTCTAATAAGCACCTTCACAATATTGTATTTAATAATAGGTAACATAACTTGGGAGAAAAGAGAAAGGACCAGTAGTTGGAAAATATAGCCTTGGTCATAGAAATGATGCTGGAGAACGCATGATAGAATTCTGCAAAAAAAAAATTTGTTCATTTCAAATACCTTCTTTAGACAGCATAACAGACAACTATACACCTGGACCTCGCTAGATGGGATAAGCAGAAATCAAATTGACTACATCTGTGGAAAGAGAAGATGGAAAAGCTCCACATCATCACTGAAAACAAGGTCAGGGGCAGACTGTGTAACAGACCATCAATTATTCATATGCAAATTCAAACTGAAGGTGAAGAAAATGAAAACAAGTCCACAAGAGTCAAAATATGACCTTGAATACATCCCACCTGAATTTAGAGATCATCTGAAGAACAGATTTAATATATTAAACTCTAAAGACCAAAGACCAGAAGAGTTGTGGGATGACATCAAGAACAGCATATGTGAAGAAAGCAAAAAGTTATTAAGAAGACAAGAAAGAAGGAAAAGGTCAAAATGGATGTCAGAAGAGACTCTGAAACTTGCTCACCAGCGTAGAGATGCTAAAACAAATGGAAGAAATGAGGAGGTCCAAGAGCTGAACAGAAAATTTCAAAGATCAGCTCGAGAAGATAAAGACAAATATTATAATAAAATGTGCAAAGATCTGGAATCAGAAAACCAAAAAGGAAGAACACACCTGGGGGGACTGAAGAAAAAATTCAAGTCTCCACTTTTGTTATTGAAAGATTCTCTGGGAAAATGATTGAATGATGCACAAAGCATCAAGAGAAGATGGAAGGAATACACAACGTCACTGTATGAAAAGGAAATGGTTAATGTTAAACCATTTCAAGAGGTAGCATATGATCAAGAGCCAATGATACTTAGGGAGGAAGTCCAAGATGCACTGAAGGAATTGTCAAAGAACAAGGCACCAGTAATTGATGGAACAAAAATTGAAATCTTTCAAGAAAGTGAGGTGGCACAGGAGGCACTCACTCATCTCTGCCAAGAAATTTGGAAGACAACTATCTGGCCGACTGATTGGAAGAGATCCAATTTGTGCCCATTCCAAAGAGAAGTGACCCAATGGAATGCAGAAATCATCAGACAATCTCTTTGATATCTCAAGTGAGTCAAGTTTTGCTAAAGGTAATACAGAAATGACAACAATCATACATTGACAGAAAACTTCCAGAGGTTCAAGCCAGATTCAGAAGAGGCTGTGGAATGAGAGATATCACTGCTGATGTCCGATGGATCTTGGCTGAAAGCAGAGAATATCAGAAAGATGTTTACCTGTGCTTAACGACTATGCAAAGGGTTTTAATTGTGTAAGATCATGACAAACTATGGACAACATTGCAAAGTATGAGTATTCCGGAACACTTAATTGTACTCATGAGGAATCTGTACCTGGACCAAGAAGCAGTTGTTCGAACAGAACATGGGAACACTGAATGTTTTAAAATTAAGAAACGTGTGTGACAAGGTTGTATTCTTTCACCATACTTATTCAACCTGTATGCTGAGCAAATAATACAAGAAGCTGAATTCTATGAAGAAAAACATGGCATCAGGATTGGAGGAAGACTCATTAACAACCTGCGATATGCAGATCATACAACCTTGCTTGCTGAAAGTGAAGAGAACTTAAAACATTTACTGATGTAGATCAAAGAGAACAGTATGGATTACATTCAGTATGGATTACATCTCAATGTAAAGAAAACAAATTTTTTCACCATTAGACCAATAAACAACATTCTTTTCAACGGAGAAAAGATTGAAGTTGTCAAGGATTTCATTCTTCTTGGATCAAGTATCAACACTCATCGAAGCAGCAGTCAAGAAATCAAATGATGTATTGCATTAGGCAAATCTGCTGCACAAGACCTTTTTAAAGTGTTGAAGAGCAAAGATGTCAACTTGAGGACTAAGGTGCACCTGACCCAAGCCATGGTATTTTCAATAACCTTACATGGATGCGAAAGCTGGACAGTGAAGAAGGAAGACCATAGAGGCATTGATGCTTTTGAGTTGTAGTGTTGGAGGAGAATATTGAAAGTGCCATGGGCTGCCAAAAGAACCAATAGATCTGTTTGGAAGAAGTGCAGCCAGAGTGCTCCCTTAGAGGCCAAGATGGCTGAACTTGGTCTCTCATACTTTGGACATATTGTCAGGAAGGGGCAGTTTCTGGAGAAGGATATCATGTTTGGTAAGGTGGAGGGTCAGAGAAAAAGAGGAAGACCCCCAATGAGATGGACTGGCCAGGTGGCAGCATCGATGGACTCAAGTGTGACAACAGTAGTGAGGTTGGCCCAGGATGGGACAGTTTTTTGTTCTGCTGTGCATAAGGTCGCTATGAGTCGGTGCCCGACTCAATGGCACCTAACAACAACAACAACATACTTTGTTTAGTTTATTCATTTCTTGTTACCTGCACAGAATTTCCCCATCAGTCTTTCAGCTTTCAATAAAACCAGTTGCCACTGAGATGACCAACTCATGGTGCATCTCGTGGTGTGTAAGGGAAAAACTGTGCTTTTACACACCAGCTTTTCAATAGTTGAGTTTCCAGAAGTAGGACTGCCAGGCCTTTCTTCCAAGGTGTCTCTGGGTGTACTCAAACCTCTAACCTTTTAGTTAGCAGCCAAGTGTATTAATTGTTTGCACCACCCAGGGACTCCTAGCTCTCATCAGTGATACTTTTATAATTGATGCAGCATTAAACTGACCCTTATGATTCTCCTGCAGATAGAAAATTTGTGTTTCTGTTGCAGAAAAGAAATGAGGCATGCAGATGGACATGATCAAAAGTCACATAAGAAGGGTAGCAATGACACAACAGGAACAGAGAATTAGACTTCAAAGTTCCTACTTTTGTGCTCTAAATCCTATGAACAAGGGAACTTCAAAAAATTCATGGAAAAACAGAATTAAAAGATAATACAAGTTTTCCAATTTTCTGAAACTGTCTCATATTACAGTCATTTAGTACAGCTCCAAGTACCATAGACACTTCATGTAACCATTTCTTTATCATTTTGTTTTTTATTTTTTCTCAGTAACAACAAATGTACTAAAGGTACAAATGGAACAAAACCCAACGTCATAAGTTTGTGTTTTGCTGATTGCTCTTATCTGGGTATTAATATATGAAAATAACTTTCCAGATAACTGGCTAGACATATTAGGCAGTTTAATGAAAAGGAGAAGTTAAATGGCAATATGGGTTTTACGTAACGAAACTATTTTATGTTTAAAAGCTTTATACAAAATAAATAAATAATTAATTAAAAGGTTTATACAACAGTAAGTTTTTAATATTAATGATCTTAGACGTCATTTTGTTATGAGGAAAGGAACTGACATGGCATTAAATGTTAAAGCATTTTGGAATATACTACAAGGAAAATAATGGAAGAATTAGATATACCTGGCCACAAAATGGGTCAAAAACAGAATACCAGACAGAAAAGTAACATCAGATTTTCAAAAAATCCTTTATATTCAAGTCATATGTAACCGAATAAAGGCAAGAGCATTTTAAATATTAAGAACATAAAGGAGAAAATACTGAATATATAGTAATTATTTAACCAATTTTAGGAGTCCTGATGGCAGTGTAGGATAAGCACTGGACTACTAACCACCAGATCAGCAGTTCAAATCCACCAGCCACTCCTCAGGAGAAAAATGAGGTTTTATGCTCCCCTAAAAGTAGCGTAGAGTCTTGGTGTAGCGCTGTGGGTTAATGCGCCAGACTACAAAGTCATCTGAACTGCAAGGTCGGCAGTTCAAGCTCACCAGCTACTCCTCAGAAACCCTATACAGGGTCACTATGGGTCGGAACCAACTCGACAGCACTTAACAACAACAACAAAAGTAGTATAGTGGCTACAAATTGGGCTGCTATCCTCAGGGTTAGCAGTTCAAAACTACCAACTGTTTCACGGGAGAAAGAGGAGGCTTTCTGCTCCCATAATGATTTACAGCCTTGGAAACTCTGTACAGGGTCATTATGAGTCAGAACTGACTCCAAGGCACATAACAACAACAACAAAAGATTTAAAAACCTCTACAGAGTTCTGAGCTGGAATCTACTCAATGGCACTGGGTTTGATTTTGGGGTGGTTACTTAGCAAACTTTGAAAACAGGCACCGTGGATAAATCAAATTAGTAGCTAAAATACAACGAACCTGGGGGCGGGGATTACAGAGGCAAGAAATGAGTAGCTTACAAGCTTTCAAGTGGGAACCTAGATCCAGAGGGTGTGGAGCAAGGTGGAATCTCCACTGAGTGATATCCACTCTGCCTAGTCAGGGCTGATAAAAGGAGATGTGGATAGGTCCCTTGCAATACAACATAGAATAATTGTTATCAGGACTGATTGTAAGGGCTGGAAATGAAAAGGTGGATGTTTGGGGGCAAAGGGAGGGGAATGATTAACCTTACAGTCTAGGAATGGAGGTCCCTGGGACCATCAAAGGAGAAGAGCAGAGAACAGAACCCTACCCAGAGAAGCAGTGATGCCAGGGATGGAGGCAGAGACTATGTCATGGAGAGATGGAGCGGCTGGAGACTTTGGACCTGGAGAGAGAGAGGGGCGGTATGCGGAAGACAGGGGGCATGCTTGCAGGGTATATACCCTTTGATTGGTCGATGATGTATGGAAGGGATTGTAACCATGGCAAGGAAAGGATACATGACGGGATCAATGTGAAGCTAATGTCTTCCCATGTGAACTATCACATAATTCACAATAAAACATTAAAATAAAACAAAACAAAACAAGGAACCCTGGTAGCACAATGGGTAAGCCACAAAGATTGAGAGTTTGAACCACTCAATAACAGCTCCATAAAACAAAAACCTGTGATCTATTTCCATATAGATTATAGTCAAAAATCTACACTTCTACTGTGTCATATGGGGTTGCTATGAATTCAACCATTGCAAAGGGTTAAAATAATAGTAGTACTAATTCTGCTCTTAATGTAGTACTTTGCTGTTGTTAAGTGCTGTCAGTCATTTCCAAATCAGAGCAACTCTGTGTAGATTTCCAAGGAGCAACTGGTGAGTTTGAACCAGTGACCCTTAGTATGTGCTAAACACTTTATGATCTCATTTGACTTAATTTTCATACTAACCCTCTTATTAAGTATTGTTTCCCAGACTTTTAGATGAAGACATTAAAGTCCCAACAATATAAATAATCTGGCCAAGGTTACAGCCAGTCAATAAGACCTTTGAAGTCAGACCTCAAACTACAAAGCTCATGTTCTTAACCATGAAAACAATCCTAGTGACAGAATGATAGCTTAGCCAGAAAGTCTAGATTAATCTCCCAATTAATCTTATAGCAGAAGTGGTAAAAAGAGACAAAACTTGATTACTTCAGTGGTAGCACTGACTAGCAGCAATTTTAAAATTGTTTTTAAGAGGCAAAAAAAAAAAAAAAATAACATAAAAGAAAGAAAGAAAAGTGGCTAGTCAAATAGTCTATAAATTAAATTTGCAACTAGTGCTTAATAAAGGTGCTCTGGTAGCGTAGTGGTTACAAATCGGGCTGCGAACTGCAAGGTCAGCAGTTCAAAACTACCAGCTGTTCCCCAGGAGAAAGATGAGGCATTCTGCTCCTGTAAAGATTTACAGCCTTGGAAACCCTGCACAGGGTCGCTATGAGTCGGAACCGACTCCACGGCACACAGCCACCACCACTGCTTAATAAGGATCACAATTAATAGTGAAGAAAATATAGAAACACATTTACTAACTCAGTTCAACTATTTATCTCTTAAATGATTTTTATGAAAATGATTTCTTAAAATGAACTGAAAAAAGTAAATAAAAACTAAAACATCAACAAAAATACAACAGGCATGCCTTCAATAACAAAAATATATTTTAAAGTATTAGCATACTAGCCTTGATTGTTTCTTCAGATACTTGGTTCTGTAATGCCTTCAAAGCTTCATCTTTCTTCATATTTTCCTTTTCCATTTCCTGAAAACATATGGATTAGTAACAAAAAATTTAAGTACACATATAAACATTTTAGCATTACTATATTAAGCAATTAATGATTTGCTTAGAACAAAGGCATGTTAGAGAAATAGAAACCAAAAATTAGTGAGTTTTTAAATAGAACTTTTATAAAGATGATTTTACCCCTTTGCTTTCTGTCAAGAGTCTATCTAGTGATTCTAGATGGTGATGTTTGCATATGATATCTTGCTGCAACATGGACATAGTCTTTTCTTGTTCTTTAAATTGTTGGTCTTTTTTCTCAAGTTGAGCTTCAAGCTAAACATAAAAATAAGATTTGGTGATTTTAAATTAATTTTTTAAATTTCAGAAATAGCATAAATATACAGAATACTCACATGTGACCCTACCAATGAACTTACATAGATTTTTACATTGTGCCCATTTTCCTTCCGTTTCCCTCCCTTTAAAGAAGAAATGAAATCATATGCCCATTTCCTCTTTATCTTCTCCATTACCTATCTAAATTGGTCTTTATCATTCTCTGGTGTGTTTCATTCTCATACATACTTTTTATAGTTTTATTACATATATTTCTGTGTGTGTATGTATATATATATCCAGGAACATTATATAACGTACTTTTTTTTTTACATAAATGATGTCAACCATTTGCAAGTTTTGGTACCTTGTTTTTTTCACTCAATGTTGTTTTACAAATTTATGTATGTTGGTATATTTAGATATAATTAACTCCTGGTGTGGCACTGTAGGATCAGTACTGGACTGTGAATGACAAGGTCAGCAGTTTAAACTCACCAGCTGCTGCCTGGAAACTCTATACAGGGTTACTATGAGTTGGAACTTACTCGATGGCACTCAACAACAATTATCCCACTGTAAAATAGACTACAGTTATCTCTGTTATTGTTTTTGTTGTTAAGTGCCGTCAAGTTGGTTCTGACTCATAGTGACTCTGTATAGAGTTTTTAAGGAGTGGTTGGTATGCTGGAGCCACCGGCAATGTGGTTAGCAGTCTAGTGCTTATCTTACAATGCCACACCAGGACTTACTCCACAGTTTCTCTACTCAGGAGCAATTAGACAGTTTCTGATTCTTCATTACTATAACAAATTTTGCAGCAACATTCTTTGTACATGTCTCTATGTACATATACAAAAGTCTCTCCAGTGTAGACTCTAGAAATGAAATTCCAGTTTGTACAATATGCACATTTCCAACTTTGCTACTATTTTCCTTCACAGTGCATCAATTTATACTTTCACTAGCAATGTATAACAACTCTCACTTTCTAAAACATCATTAATAACTTATATTAGGAAACTTGGAAGAAACTTTTACAGATGCCATTGTTGTCAAGTGTCCTCGAGTTGGTTCTGACTCATAGTGACCCTGTATAGGAGTTCCAAGGAGCAGCTAGTGGCTTTGAATTGCTGATCTTGTGGTTATCAGTAGAGTGCTTATCCTACAGGACTCCACTTTTATGGTTACAATTTATTTTAATAGAATGATTGCGCATGCATATATGCATGTTGAGTTTGTACACACACACACATAGATACATGCACAAAATATTACAAACACACATATGCATCTTTAGGGTACAATGAATTATTTAATACAGCACTTTATGCATGATTATGCAAATCCTCTTTATTTGGAAGTTCTGTTAATTACACTATTTCCTCTTTTTACTTGTGGTATTGTTTTTGTTGTTAAAAATTGTCCCTATTTTCTGTCTTGTAGATTTGTTTTCCTTCTCTAAATTGAGCTCTGGGTGATACTGACATGTGTGTCAATCTCAGGTTGTTGTCTGCTGTTGTTAGTTCTTTGTCCAATGAACTCTCTTTAGAATTTTTGGGAAGGTTATTTTGGTTTTTACAGATTCTTTTAATTTCTGTTTATCTAGAAATGTCCTAATTTTACTGTCATATGTGAGGGATAATTTTGTTAGATATGATTCTTGGTTGGCATTTTTTTTCTTTAGCGTAGTGGTTACAAATCGGGCTGCGAACCTTAAGGTCAGGAGTTCGAAACTAGCAGCCGCTCCACGGGAGAAAGATGAGGCTTTCTACTCCCGTAAAGATTTACACCCTCGGAAACCCTGTACAGGGTTGCTATGGGTCGGAACCGACTCAACGGCACTTAACGACAACAACATATGTTTTCTGCTAAGAAGTCACAGCTTAATCTCAATAATTCTTTGTAGGCAACTTTTTGTTCTTTCCAGTGGCTTTCAGGAGTCTTTCCTTGTTTTTGGTTTTGGAGAATTTGATTGTAAGTCTTGGTGATTTTCTTTTGGAGCCTATCCTATTAGGAGTTCATTTCGTTTCTTGAATGCTTACCTCCTTGTCTTCAATGATGTCAGGGAAGTTTACCCTCTAACAACTCCTTGACAATTTTTTTCTGTGGTATATTTGTCTCTTTTTGTTCTGAAATTCTGATCACATATACACTATTCCTCTTGATGATGTCCCATATAATCGTTAGGCTTTCTTCAGATTTTTTGTTGGTGCTGTTCTTTTTACTGATTTTTTTCTCTTTGTGTTGTTAAGTGCTGTCGAGTTGGTTCTGACTCACAGCAATATTGTATAGGGCGTCCAAGAACATTTATCTTTGCAGGAGCAGAAAAGCTTAGTTATCTTTCTTCCTCGAAGCAGCTGGTGTGTTCGAACCACTGACCTTTTGGTTCGAAGTCCAGTGCTTTATCCTACTGAGCCAGCATGCTCACTAACAGCATTCCTCTAGCAGATGAATGCTGAGATTTGTGTTCAGCTCACACCCATTTAGCCTTCCATTGATTCAATTCTACTTGTCTACCCCTTCGATATATTATCTATTTCTAAAATCTTACTACTAATCTTCGAGATTCATATTTCTATTTGCTTTTGTAAGGTTTTATTTTTTCATACTTTGTCAGTTTGTTGTAGTGTTTTCTTGAATGCTCTGAAACTTCTGTCTGTGTTTTCCTTATTTCGGCAGCTTTCTCATTCTCTCAATAAGGTAAAAGATACCTAAATATAATTCCTTTGAATTCTTTACTATGCATTAAAGATGCAAATAAAAATAATGAGATATCATCTCACTTCAGCAATAATAGCAATGATCCAAAAAACAGAAAACAACAAATGCTGGCAAGAGTGTGAAAAACTGGGACACTCACACACTGCTGATGGGATCGCAAAACAGTATGTCAATTTCTTAAAAAGTTAGAATCAGAGATACAATATGATCCAATAATAGCACTATACATTAGGTTGTTGTTGTTGTCGTTAAGTACCATGGAGTCGGTTCTGACTCATAGTGACCCTGCACAGGGTTTCCGAGGCTGCAAATCTTTACGGGACCAGAAAGCCTCATCTTTCTCCTGTGGAACAGCTGGTAGTTTTGAATCGCCGACCTTGAGGTTAGTAGCCCAATTCGTAACCACTACGCTACCAGCACTCCTTATATAGTAGGTGTCCCAGAGAAATAAGAGCTGCTGCGATTTAATGTGCTATACTGCAAAGAAGGTTTGAACCGCAATGTCAGCAGTTCAAGCTTACCAGCCACTCCTCAGAAACGCTATACAAGGTCCCTATGAGTCAGAACTGACTTAATGGCGTTTAACAACAACACCACAATAGATAGAAGCACATGCATGTTCAAGCAGCACCATTCATAATAGCAAAAAGATGAAAACAACTTAAGTGCCCAACAGCAGATGAATAGATAAATAAACAATGCAAGACCGTGTTAAAGAATAACAATGACTCTGTAAAACATCTAACTCATAACATGGATGAACCTAGAAGACATTACACTGAGTGAAATTAGTCAATCACAAATACTGTAAGAGACCACTAATATACAAAATTCAAGAAAAGATATATACACAGAAAGAAGCATTCTTAGATTCACAGGAATGGAAGGGGGAAGGAGGAACAATCACTAACTAGAGGGGTGTTGCTGATGTTAAGTGTTGTCTAATCAGTTCCAAATTACAGCAACCCTGTAGCAGGTTTTAGAGGAGTAACTGGTAGGTTTGGACAACTGACCTTTCAGTTAGCAGTCCAGGATTATCCTATTAACACTGTATCAGGACACCACCTACAGAGCAGACAAGTATTAACTTGGGTAAAAGGAAAGCAATATACAATAAGTGGGATATAATCAGCATAACATGAATAAGGCAAAGGAAGACACTGGGAGGTACATAAAAGTACAAGACAACATGGTAAATACTAATACATACACAACCCTGTAATAACAGTAATAACAAACAGTAATTTATGGATAAAAACAAAGATAGATAATGCAAGATGAAGAGATGTAAGATGGTGTAAAGGAATACATTAATGATTTTATA